ACATCTGTAAATGACACATGTTTTTGTCAATTAAGAAGAAAGACTGACGGTATTTTAATAAAACCATATTATCCAATAACCGTTTTTCAACATTCTACTGATTATCTATAATTTATACACAGCTTTATTTATATTTTTATGATTTCAATCCCAATAACCTTTCTATTTGTAGAATTAATTCAGCTAAAAAAAGCTAGACTCCCAGCGGCTCCCAGATGCGCATCCTTAGCTAGACGACTAAAACACTTTATTTATATGTACAAAAATATTCACAAAAGGAGAAATCGCCTACCCCTCAAYTAGCCCTTTTCGCTGTTAGAAAAGAAGTTGCGCGAGGAATCCTGTGATTTTACAGCAAAACGAAAAATAGTCCTTTTTCGCTTGCTCAGTATCATTTTTACAATATCTTAAAATTGACACAAACTTAGCGCTCAGTCATTTGAGGTCTGCAGCAAAATATGTTACCCCCTTTCTTTTTTAACCGAAAAAAAAATGGCAAAAAATGAGTTCCAGCTCCGAAAAAGGCACCCTATCGAGCAGCACGTATACCAACCTGCCCCCCTCCCCCTCCCCCCAGGGCCAATGTCGGACCGATTCTCCTGGCCAAGTCTCGCTCGTTAATTATTTCCATTGCTTAAGATTCCTCTGTAGTCACTGGGAACATTTGAACTCGAAAACTTCTTCTAATACGGTCACCATTATTAGAAATGTAAAGAAAGGTCAGAAAAGATTGTTATTAAGGGAAATACTCATATCAAGACGTGAAATCTCTAAAACAACCCTGAACATTCGTCTTCAACTCASTCAAGCAACAGCTGAAGTCTTTTAACTCGTGCCAGTTTGTCGTTTACTTTTCTTTGGTTTTAGTTACTTCTCGTTGACCATGTCTATACTGCGAAAACAGTGAAGATGGAAATGATTTTAAGCTGAAAACCAAACAAAACAATATCATGCAGTCGTCCTYCTTCTCGATGAAAACCAGTCATGAATTCAGTCGAACTGGGAACAAAATTCTCGTTAATCAGGTTTATATACTTTTCTTCGATTCAATGGCTCATTGTTTGTATAAGAAGAATGTCAAGGAACGTCTGTTCTTTGAAGAAGCACATTGGACTACGAAAAAGCTATAGCACTAAAATTTGTAAGTAAATTTGTAACTGTATGCTTTAATATACAATGTAACACAAACTAAAAGTCTGCTCAATTTACATGAAAAATTATGATTGTTGTATCAAGTCTATTTGAGAATAACAAGTGTTAAAAAAGAGGCAAATATCACATTTCAAATGTAGTCTGAGACAATTCATAATAAATTGTGTAGTAAATAAATTTAAGACAAAACTCTGAATAACATAATAAATGCTTTTATTTA